ACCAGGGCAGCAATCCTCTCTATAACATCTCTGACTCCGAGCGTACTTTCTCCAGGCAACCCATTTCACCCTCAGCTATTAATTTACATATGGTTGGTGTGTGATAAATATTTGTTGAATGAATAAATTATTTTGAGCAAAATATCCTCCACTAATTCTGGCTCTCCCCTGCAGATCACCAAAGAACGAAGCTACCTTCTCTTCTACTCAACAGTTCTTGAATGTTCAAAACGCGAATTGAAAAAAGCTTGCTTCTCTCCCTTCACCTGCTCGTCTCTAGAAATTCTGTGTGAATTTTTCCAAACCCGTTCTGATGGTAGGGTATGACAAAGAGAGCCTGCAAGGTAGATGTCCCTGTTTTCTAGGCTTTTACTTTTTTGGGGGGGGAGGGGTTGGAGTCTCACTCTGTCGCCCCCGCAGCCTCGACCTGCCGGGCTCCGGCGATCCTGCCACCTCCGCCTTCCAAGGAGCTGGAACTACAGGCGCGCGCTACCAGGCCCGGCTCATTTTTGATTGTTGTAGAGATGAGGTCTCGCCCAGTGGCCCAGGCGGGCCTCGAACCCGTGGGCTCAGGCCATCCACTCACCTCAGCCTCCCAAAGTGAGGGATGACAGGCTGCGTCACCGAACCCGGCTGGCTTTTACTTTTTAAAGTGATTATTTTTTGAATTGAGATTCAATTTTTATGTATTTATTTTTTATTTTAGGGTTGTGGGGTACATGTGAGGATTTGCTCCATAAGGAAAACGTGTGCAGGTGAGGTCTGGGCTTCGAGCGAGTCCCCTGTCTCCCTAGTAATGGGCATGGTACCCAACGGGTGGCCGTGTGCCCCTTACCCCCTCTCCCTTTGTAGGTTTGTGCCATCACTCTTCAGGTGGCTACAGTTTTCTAGAGTCCAGATTATGCTCTAATCATGGTTAAGGGAAGCAGAGAGACCTTCACATCACGGATGTGGTCACCACATTTCTGTTGATGCAGCCTCAACCAGCGGTGGCTCTTTTTAGCCGTGTGGGGTTTGCAGTCAGGTGAAACCACTGGCTCCCAGCACCAGGTCCTCCCAACATGAGACGTGCAGGTATTCTAGCAGACAACGGTGGGGAAGAGTGGTTGGCATCCCGCTTGGAAATTTTCTGTAGGACTCATCCTACCCTCTCCGTAAGATCCAAAACAAAAACAAGAAATAACAGGCTTGATCACAGAACCAATCTGGCACAGTTCACGTTTGAAGAATTTCCCGGAACTCGTAGGTTTACATAGGTGATTATTTCCCTCAAGCAAGACAAAGGACATTCCATTTGTTATTTCCATCATCTGCACTTTTTCTTTACAAGGCCTCCTATTTTTTGTCAAGTTTCTTAAACCTGAACAGTGAAGCTTGAATTAAGATTGGTGATGCTGGCCAGGTGTGGTGGCTCAGGCTTGTAATTTTAGCACTTTGGGAGGCTGAGGCCGGAGGATTGTTTCAGGCTGGGAGTTGGAGAGCAGCATGGGCAACATAGGGAGACCTTGTCTCTGTCTCTGTCTCTACACACACACACACACACAGCTGGGCTTTGTGGTGTACACCTGTGGTCCCAGCTACTCAGGAGGCTGAGGAGGGGGGATCCCTTCAGCACAAGAGTTCCGCTGCGGTGAAGCTTGCTCATGCCACTGCACTCCAGTCTGGACGACAGAATGAGACCCCCGAGTCAAAAATACAAAATAAAAAAGCCCACGTCACTGTCAGTTACTTGAAACATGTCAGAGGGGTCACAGGTTTCTTAAGCTCTGGTAAGCTGGTGGCCACTTCAAATGTAGCCAATGCCACAGACGTTAAAAATCCTCAAATATTGTGTTGTTCATCCCTTTCAGGAAAAAAAAATCCGCCGAGACTGGAAATTCCTACGGGTGGGAGCAAGCACCGCCGGGGGGGCAGGTGTAACTCTGGGCGCGTGATCCGCGCGCTCTTGTGCCCGGGGCCGGGCCCTGGGCTCTGGTTGGGCACCGCGGCGCCCAGGCGTGCCGGACCCTCATCGACGCAACACGAGCGCGGGGACCCACCGACGCCAGCCGAAGGGGCGGGCAGCGAGGAGGAAGACGAGAAGGTGGAGAAAGGGGGGAAGAAAGTCTGGTGTTCCGAGCCGTCGAGGTCACAGCGGGACGCACAGTCTCGGGGTGGGTCTCCCGGGTGCCCCAGACGCCCCCAGCCCGCACTCGGCTGCAGCGGGCCAGGCCACAGTCCCGCAACCGCGTCTGGGTTGGGGTCCGAGCACGCAGCCATCGCCAGCCGCATCCACGGTTGCACCTGGCATCTCGACGCGCCCGCGCCCCCCCGCTCTCTCCTCCCCGCCCCCCGCGCTCTCCCGTCGACCCCCTGCGTTCCCTCTCCCCTCGGCCCCCGTCGCCCCCGAAGCCTGTTCCCAGGCGGCGCCGGGGCGTCGCCCCCGGCCCTTACTTTGATCCGGCGGGGGCGGG